TTCGCGAAGAGCATTAAATGCTTCGGCAGTAAAACCTGGAGACGCATTGAGGCATTGGTACCATTTCCGGATTGTACTTGGGTGTGGGAGACATGTGTTAAATGTACTCCTTATGTACGAGTAGGCCTTCGGAGAATAAAAATGGAGTGTTAGCGCAAATGTGCGGAGCTCTGGTGAATATTTCTTGCCTTTATTCATCATTCTCTTAAGGAGAGCTGCTGCAGAAACTTCACACGATTCTAGAAGAGCAACTTGCTCTTGTGTAATGAATCTCTTTTCTTTTAATTCGTCTAATACTTGAGACATATTATTAATTTTTTTTTTCAAACGCTGGCGTGTTGCGTAAAGCGCATTGCATCGCATTCGGCGACGTTTAGCTACATCTTTTAATCGAATAATTTGTTTTTTCAATTTTTGTTTTCTTGGGGTATCGCCGACATTTGGGAGAAGTGGACATACGGCTGAAGGCACTTCATGATCAATATGCATATTGTTTGAAGTAGATGGTTCGTGCTCTGCAAACGGTACTTCGCCTGAATTTAATGACGCTGCTTCCGTCGAATTATTATCAGCAGGTGTTGATTGACCAAGAAAAAGGGATGGGACAGCCGTACTTATTAATTTGCGTAGTCCTTTTTTCGTTTCATAGATATTGGAATCATGAAAGTGTACTGAACAAACTTTATTCCATATGTTTGGCTTAAAACTTGTTCGTTTTAAAGCGACAATCCACTTGTTCATCAAATTTCGGTCCTTTGGAAAGCTGAAATATAAGAAAACTTGAAAATTTATTTTATTTATTTTTTATTTACTTCATTCTTCACCTACCAAAATTTTTCAAAATCAATTAAGTAATTTAGACGTTATATAGTAACAATTCATAATTTACTTTTACGCTATAATAAATAATAAGCGCATTAAAAATATTAAAAAGTGGATATATCGTAAAAATTACAACGCACACACATGTAAATTATTTTGAAGTAATAGATAATAAAAAAACAGCCGTATTTACATAAAAAAAGTTTTACAACGTTTAAACTAGTCAACTGTTTTGTCACTATTTTTCAAATTCATAATATCATTTCAAAGAAAGAGATAAAAATATAAATTATCGACTGCAGCATTGGTCGCGTCACATCACTACAATCTCGAGTGGGGAGTGCGGTGCGCGGGCGTACCTATGCGTGCTCGCCTCTCCCGCCTCCTTCACCCCCGTGCTTCGTAATTTGTTTTAATAAAATAAGTATTTTAATCGACTTACCGATGAAATGTGATACTGGATTTCAATTTTGTCTGTTTTCTAGTATCGTTTTTGCAAGATTCAACTGCACATTTGACCATTTTAATCCGTAAATAGCAAAAAATCTTTTGGGGAACGCACACTGATAGCACTTGACAACGACTGCGAGCGCTCGTGGCGGGAACGTCATTTTGTTCTCACTTGTGCCTATTGTTCCCACTTCTTTGCGCGCGCTCTATACCGTAGGATTGTATACTCTAAGTCGTTATCACTAACACGTACTCCTTCCAAGATCTACGGGTTGCCTAAAATCCACAAACCGGCAAGGCCCCTTCGTCCTATAGTGAGTCAAATAGATTCGCCAACATATAAGACTGCTCGTTTCCTGTCAGACGTACTACTTCCTTTCACGGGTAAAACATCAAGTTATGTGAGAGATTCTACACATTTTGTACAGTTGTTGGTGTATCGGAAACCAACGCACACGGATAGATACCTGAGAGCGGATTCACATCACCACCCGGCACATTTAGCCTAGCGCGGACGCTCATTAATAGAGCTTTGAAACTTTGCGACACGGATTACATAGATGCTGAGCTAAATAATAATAATAATAATAATAAGTTTATTTTTCTCATCACAATATACAAAATACATTGGCATAATATCCAAAATAAAATACATAAAACAATAAATTATACTGTGGGAGACTGGTGCCTAAACTAGACGTATGATCTGTATTTCAGGTCACCAGGACTCCACCCCTTGGAAGATACTTGTTATTTTGAAATATGTACTAGTACATTGACAATTGTAGTAACTAACTTATCTATATATTAAGGTTTTACAAAGGAACATAAAAGAATATAAAAAAAAAGCTGTTTATGCAGTGTTTGGTTAGTAAATGATTGTGTATTTGTAAATTTGGGTGTGTAAGTGTGCGTGTATGTAATTATATGTGTGTAAATGTGTATATATATATATATATAGTGTATGTAAGCATGTGGATGTATGTGTGTGTGCGATAACGAGAGTATAGTGATAAGATTGGAAGAGTGACTGATGTGTTAGCGTGGCAAATAGTTATGGACAAGTTTTCCCCGTAAAATAAAATGAAAAAGAAATAATAATAATAAAAGCTAAGATAATACAAATATTAAATTAAATTAATTACATATGAACTGATTATATCGGGGCAGCAAGTAAATGTTCCGTGTCGTCGTAGGTCAACTCCTGAAGCCAATTTCTTACTTTCATTTTGCACTTAATCTTAGTAAGATTGTAAATAGGAAGTGTCTTATTTAATTTATTGTAAGGAAATCGACCAAGGTAGCAAAAGAAACGTTTAGAGAACATTGTGTTGAGCCGGTCACAATAGTATTCCACGGGGTTAAATCGTCTTTTCCCAAGAGACAGCTTGGGGTTACACTGAACTAGTCCATGCTGTTTTAGGACCGTTTGCAATATGAACAGCTGACGTACAGTTAGGACTTTCGCTTCTTTGTATAGGAGAGAAGTGGAATATTGAAATGGGCGGAAAGAGGAAACCTTCAGAATAGCTCTCTGTGTTCTTTCTAGCTCCAAGATTGTGTGTTTTGAAGCACCACCCCAAGATGTTATACAGTAGGTAAGTAGGGATTGGGCGAGAGCAAAGTAAAGTACTTTTCTTAATTTTTCATCAGTCACAAATCTTAGGGTCCTAAATACGTAAATTAGTTTACGAAGTCTAGTGCTCAGGGAATTGATGTGTTCCTTGAAACTTAGGGTTTCCCGCCTTGTCGTGGTGGAGGAGCTCTAGTAGCCGTGGTCGATTTCATCCCACGGTGAAGCTAAGAGGAACCCACAGCCGATGGTGGTAGGTTGCCCCGAGGAGGAGGCCCGGGTCGTCTAATCAGCGGGACCACGCGGACGCGCACTGGGAGGAGGGATGCGGGGGGAGAGGCGTGTCGGTGTGTCGTTGCCACTCGTCCTATTCTCCGCGGCCGAACTTGGGCGGTTGGCCCGTGGTGGGCGCTCCAAGGGACTCTCTTCGGGAGAGTCCGCGCGGATGCGAGTTACGTGATGCGGCGGAGCCTGCCATCAGATCCGCCGCGGGGGCTGGGGGAGCAGCCACTGAACTTCACGGTTTAGTAGATGCTGTCCTGGCCCCCCATGGGACTCGGGGGAGTTCGTTGCGCAGCATAGAGGGGGGGAAGGCTCGTCTGGTGTTAGTCGAGCCTCACATTCGAAGTCGGGGGACCTCCCTTCTCGGGGAGGGGCTGCGCAGGGCGCGGCCATCCGCTGGTCCCCACCGCGCGGACGAATGGAATAGCGTACTCTTGGAAGACTTGGTTCCCAAAAAGTTTTCAAAAATATGCAGCAAACACTTTAAGGAAAGAGTGCTTTTCCTTTAGAGGCAATCAAAGAGTAAAGTTACGTTCTGGTTCTGTACCCACATTATTCAAGCCGGTATGTCTTACAATTAATGGATTTTTGTGTAGTAGGTACTACTCTCGTCAACAACAAATCAGCGATTTGTTGTTGTTAGAGTTCTGTTCTGTTCCGAAATACGATACTCATATAGGATTATTTATGTGTCCATCTGTCCGTCTCTGTCACAGCCAATTTACTCCAAACGTACTGGACTGATTATTTTGAAATTTGGTACACATATGCATTTGTGTGACCAAAACGTGTAACGTAAAGAAATTCATTCTCAATTTGAAGTCACTATTGGGAAGAAATGTTCTCAAGTATATGTGTACATTTTTTGTAATTTTGAAATATAAATATTTTTAAGTTGTTTAAGGAAACAGGCGAAAATTGATCATTCTCCCCTTTATCTTTGAAACTATTGAGCCTAAAGTTTTGAAAAAAATACAGAAATTGTCTTTAAATCTCTCACTATTGTGCGAATAAACCTATATTTGCTGTTGGAATTCATTGGAGAACATATTCTTCAACTACAATGTTAAGGTTGTACGGAAACCTCTCCGCGCGAGTTCAACTCGCACTTGGCTGGTTTTTTGGTTGGTTCTATTACTTATCTGCAAATTCACTGCTGTGATGCACTTCTATGTCACCTATCATACAATAATTATAATAGTTATATTTGTTTGTTGGTTGCGGTCGTCAGCTTGGTTCGTGGCCACCATACTATCGCGCCGTAACTGATCATGGGTCTTATCACCGTTTTGTAGAGCCATAGTGTTATCTTGCGTGAAAGTCCCCATTGTTTACCTACCATCCTATGGCACTGTTAGAAGGTGATAGTAGCTATCTTAACTTTGTATTGAATCATTAATTAATTAGTCAATTAACGACTCGGCGTTTTGCGATGAGACATTTTGGTGAATACGACGAGTCAACGCACCAAAACCGTCAATTTTCACTTGAAGTTGTCGGACATTTCTTTTACTAAAAAGTTTGAAAATATCGAAAAATTTGATACATTTATTATCGCAAAGGCAAAGGTTATAATTTTTGGGTGGACATAATATAGAGTGTATGATCTATGGTGGACATTCTCGTGTCGAGCATTACTGTGTCGTACATTACGTTGTTGGGCAATATAGGGACTATAGAAAGATAGACAGTGGGGTGAGTGGGGCATATAGTGTTCTGTGCTGTAATCACAGATGCTGTAGTTCACTAAGTAGTCTGTGGGGGTACACACGCATTGTCATTGAGTGCATGCGTGCTCGTAATTTTGTTTTTGCGCATTTTGCTATCGCTTTGTCCCAAGTGTTAAAAAAAAATAATTTGGAAGTTAAAAATAATGGGATACGAACATTACGGAGGGACTAAAAAAATATTGTCCTTCGTAGCAGAAGATTGGAAGTTGTTATTATTTTTGACAATATTGTTCGCCTTATATTTTTACTACACTAGTACATTTGATTTTTTCGAAAAGAAAGGGGTGCCTTATCTGAAGCCTACAATTTTTCTGGGTACTTTAGGGCCCAGATTGATTGGGAAGAGGTCTTTTCACGATTTTCAGTTGGACATTTATAAACACTTTCAAGGCAAACCTTATGGAGGTAAGTTATAAATTTGAAATTGACAAATTAGACACCTAAACCAACAAAGTCCTCAAGGTCTTTCTGCTTTGTATATTGCCTTGTCTTCAACTGTAAATAAAAGTGAAGTAAAATCATTTAAAAAGCGAATTGAAGTAAGTATCATATTTATACTTTCAGCCAAAAGACGTCCACTGCTGAATATTTGGTTACCCTATTAAAATTAAATAAAAATATCGATATAAAATTAAATTATTTATTAATTTTTTTAAATTGTGAAATTGACCTTAAAAACTATAGGTGTTAAAAAAAATTATAAACCTAATTTTCAGTAATTGGCATAAAAGTGCTTGATTCCTACACATTTTTGATGTGACCATATTCACATACACCTGTTAGTTCTACGTTTGTTACTTAAATTATATTTTAATTGCTTGGTCTCTTCCATAATTAAAAATATTAATAATTATAATTTTTCTGGCTAGTACGCTATCTAAGTGCCATTCCTTTAGAGAAGAAAAATATTAGTTCTTAATAAGTATAGGTATATAGATTTGAAAAAACTTACATTTCCTATTGTTACGTATTTGAGATAACAAATAAAAATTTAATTATATAATTATGTGTAATTTACAAACTTTCCTTTTGCAAGATATCTCAGTTAAGACTGTTTTGTTAATGATATAAACATATTACTTTCATCCAGGTATATTTGAAGGAAGGCGACCAAATCTATATGTGTTTAACCCTGACCTAATCAAAGCAGTGACAATTCGGGACTTTGACCATTTTGTGGACCGCAACTTTCTCAACCTGAATCAACCTCGATATTTAAGTAGATCACTCCTTCATCTGAAGGTATGTCTTAATGTTATCGTGACTCGGTGCTTAATCACTTTAGATACTTACTTTTGAGAAATAAGAATTTAAATTACCCTTATAATTAATTGTCAAAATGAACTGAGTTTGTATGAAATAATATGAATGACTCCCTTCCAGCATGTTACATATTCATTAACTCAAAACTCACTTATGGTATATTAAATTGGGGAAATTTTACCGCACTATGGTATCTCTTCATACTACAAAAGAAATGCATAAGAACATTGGCCAATATTAAACAAACTGATTCATGTGAACCCTACTTCAGTAAATACAAAATATTGACTAACCTCCATATGTATACATTCTTGAGTACCTACTGTAAATTCGTAAAAAAGCATATGTATCTATAGTAAATGACGAACTCCATAGTCAAGCGGCTTGAACACCAGATTTCCTGGTGACGCCATCTCTGAGGTCCCGGGTTCGATCCCCGGCCTGGTCAATGTAGAAACTAACTTGGGTCTGGGTGTTTGTGGTACCGTCGTTGTTTCCGATTAACTGGACAGGCGTGTAGCTTACCATCAGGCACACGACTTGTTCGTCCTGTCACTTGATGTTATAAAAAGAACTAACTTATCTATTTGTATGAAGAGCTTGAACAGTCATGATGAAGAACTCGCTATAGGGGTTTCTTTTTTTAAATATCTATATATATAAAATATATTGTGTGCTTCACGAAGTTGTGCTTGAAAGTTGTCAAAAATAGGCCTACCTCCTATTCGTAAGGCAGTCTCAGGCAGTCAAAAGATTTAAACGGCAGAACAGCGTGGGGAAATGTATAGTCGCAAAGCCCTCAGATATTTAGTAATAGAGCCTTACGACATGGCTTATTTAATTTTGTTTGTTAAATGCAATATTTTATTCTATATTGCAATTTTCAGTAGGAGGTACCTTACCTAATTGTTTGTGGTTTATGAGATTTTATTTGATATTTTGCATATCAAATAAAGCTTATTTAAATGCCTATTTTAGGAAGTACTTATCACAAAAAAATTCATTAAAGTAAAACATCGTAGGAAATAAAACTATTTTTTCGGTTCTGAATCGTGTTTATTTGTTTTATAAAAACAATCCACTGTTTCAGTTTGAGTTGTTAGTTTGAATTTAAAAAAAAGAATTAGATCCGAAAAAATATTTTCATTTCCTGTGTAACAATCGCGCAAACTTAAGAACTCGATATAAAACATCATCCTGCCTTAGAATAATCATCCTGCATACATTTATGTATTCTTTAATTTTTTAATAATTTTTTTACTCATTTGCTTCCCATTCTGACTATAATCGTAATTTGTGAGTCAGCGCTATTCACAGAATTTCGGTAGGTATTTACTTTCCTTTTGTGAGCCGGCGCTATTCACAGAATTTCGGTAGGTATTTATTTTCCTGTATAGCAAATACAAGTGGTGAAACCAACAAAAGACTCTTGGTTTACCTCTACTACACGTATTACACATGAATTACAATGTATAACCAATCTATCTACAGTCGTTATTGTAACCTGTCTTAACTAAAGTCCAATGACTAAACTTATTGAAGCATCAAATTTTCCTAATATTTACCATATTTTTACTAAAGGCTTCGCTCATAATAAAACACAATTTCGTGACCACTCCTTATCTTAATTTAATCCTATAAGAAATCCTTAATTTAGTTTTAATGAGTTAGTTGAAACCCAAAGAGTTGAAACCTCGTGTTTTTTTTAAATAAGGCTAATTCTGTTTTATAAAACTCACTGTCCCTATGATATAAACTTTCATCATCACAACTTAAAATTAAACGCGTTTACCCGCAAAATAAATACAACATTACATATGGAAAAATCTTTTCATTAGGTAAGACTCTATTTTCCTTTTAAAGTCTTTACTAACACTAGTTATTAGTCATTGAAAAGGAAATTATATTCTATGTAGTTTTTAA